TTTGCCAGCTTTCAAATCCCACCGTATCCTTGCCTGCTTGTAAATTTAAATTTTAAGTGATTTCGAATTTTGATATTTCCTACGTCTGTTGTTGGGTGCATGAATCAGCTTTCAAGAAGATATTATTACGTTGCAAGTACTTCGTTATGCACATATATGCACTCTTCTGGAGGGATCCCATAACTGGGCTAGACGGCTTGCAGGCCCTTATAGACATAGAAGTTTTGATATTGGTAAAATAGAACGCTTCGTTCTCAGATTCTGCTTCAGGAAGTGATCAGTGCTGAGTAAATTCATCTCTTCTGATGAATCAAGAATTAAACGCCTAGTCAGCACAGTATTCTCATAAAAAATGTTGGCTCATAATTGACAGACAATGATTGCCCGTACCATGGGTTAACTCGCTCTTCTTTCCCTCTGTTCTCTTTCTGTTTTCTCTCTCTGTCTCCTCTTTCTTTCGCATTCCCGTTTTCCAAATTAGTCACATAACCATTCAGTATGTGACAGGTAGGAGGAGGCTGTACTGATGATTCTCGTTCCTATCTGCACGCAAATTTCGGTCTGTGTTTACAACTAAGGGATGATAGACTGCATGCTAACATGTCTTCTTACACATTACAGTTATTCCAGTCCCTTCTGTTCTACTGTTTCATATCTCAGGATTTTCTCAGGTTGTTCTTCCAACTGTAGGTCGATGCCTCACGGAACAGAACATGAAACTAAAAGTGTGGTGGTTTTTGTGCGCTGAAGCATGTCGCATTCAGGCTTGCCAACTTTCCCTCACCATCAAGTTTTATAGTGAGCACAAAAACCCATTTGTACCTTCTCGCACACCCTCCCCTCCCCCCTCTCCTCTCCCTCTTTTTCTAATTTCTGTCTTCAAGCAGGGTCTCAGTTCCTTCCCAGTCAATAACCCCATCCCCTCATATCTCAGTAGCGGTGCTTAACATTGAATCAGAACACCGAATAACCAAGGGATCTTGAAAGTATTATTATGGGTCAAATTGAAGAATAGCGGATAAATAAAAATATAGCAGGACAGGCAATTGTTTTGTTGCGCGGTGTGCATTTGACCGAATTTCCTCGGTTAAAAAATGACCTAAACGTGTGGCAGCTCGTAGGTTTCTTCAATTTCAGGTTTTTGCATCACTTGGGTCCACATGGTTTCGAGCTGTTTCCGATTCAATTCCAAGTGATAATGTGGTCCATTGTGCTTTGTCTTATCACCTATTATGGCTTTGCAAAGGTTGAAATCGTTGTGGATCGCAGTGAGTTTTCATTTTTAGACATCTCTGTTTGCTCCAGGTGTCCACGAAATGGCTTTTTTGGGAGACTGCTCATCAGCGCAAGGTCATTTTTGTTATCCAGAAAGTGATGGATGGCATATTTTGCCCTTGGTGTGTTACTGTGGCCAATGTTCCTCACTGTTCGAGTCATGCCATTTCAATGTTTTTTAAAAATTCTTTATTAGCATGTAATAATAGCATATTTTATTAGTTTTCTTTCCAGTGAAATAATTCTTCAGAAATGACGTAGTAGAGTAGCACTGTTGTCATGCAGTAAATCGAAGGTTCGACTCCGCCAGCGGGGCAACCAGCCCTCATTCGTTTCAATGATAAATTAGTACTAGCAGCATATGCCAGGGAGTCAAATTTGCCATCAGCTCGCTTTTGAACCGTAAACAGCCTTGCCATTTGGTTATTGCTGTTAATTGTTAACAGAAGAACTACTTCCCGAGTGCCTCTGCCTCTGTTCATGGAGAACGAATATGGAGCGGTAATCGCATAGCTTCCGTTAAACCGGTGATAACTGTAATGGTAAATGGACGGTCCAGGACGGCCGAAGTGGGTGAAAAGGTTTTGCGGCCGTTGGTGGGCCGTACCGTAATAATTTCATAGCTTATCAAGTTTATGCGTGTAGCGGAATTTTACATGATAAATGATATTTCACGTGTTGTCAGTCCCGAAATATTGTCTTTTTTTTAAAGAAATTATCAAGTCCTAAGAAACTCGGCAGCAGTCTTCATTTTAATTTTGACATTTTTTATCGCTATGGGAATTCTGATGGGGCGGTGGAGGAGAGGGGAGAGGGGGGCGGGGACAGTTCTTAATAGAGTATGTCAAAATCAGCTACAATGCAATGCGAAAAACGCATATTGACGAGAGGTTGTCTTGTGTGTGTGTGTCTGTGTGTGTCTGTGTGTGTCTGTGTGTGCGCTGCGCGTCTGTACCGATTTTTCATCTCGAGACCGG